ATCCTCCATCTGGGTCCCAAGTAGTGACTCCTCCCCCTTCAGCCCTAAGCCGGCTGACTCTGGTTCTCCCCATGAACCTTGTCATTTCTATTATGTGCAGTGAAAAAGACAAAGTCCTGGCACAGTGGTTGGAATAGATTGGAACTCAACTTGTTGTTGATTTGGATGAAGACTTCCACAGTCATTTGTCCCAAAGTGGGAATCACAGCCCTGTTTGAGTTAACCACAGGTGATCTCTGTGTTTCAGAGTACGTTATTCTCTCTTAATCCTTCTCAGCAGGTGACGTGGAAGGTTTTCACATCTCAGGTTGCTGCTGGAGGCAAACATCTAGCAGTGGCAGCCTCACTTTTAACCTCAGCCCTGCCAGCAGCAGAGAAGCAACCGTGTCAGGTGGAATTTTATTAGCACTGTTTTTACTTTAATATTCATTTTCGGGCTCACCTTCTAATTATAAGCAGTACTTTTTATCATCGAGGCTAAGATACATTTTTTGATGAATGTACTGAAATTTAAAAAGTGAATCCAAGAAGCAATATGTATTGCCCTAGGTGGCCATGAGGATAAAGAAACTCTTGGCAAGATGAGAATGCATAAAATTTGGAAAGCACTGTACCCAGTAAAGGTCATATCATGTGGGCAAATGGCCAGACGATGGGGAGAGGGGTTGGAGGAAAACCTGACTGAAAGTTGGAGTCAGCACCATGGGAAAATCTTGCACGGAGAGCCAAGTGAGCTGGTGAGAGTTAGGGCCTGCTTGGGCTCCTCCTGCCTGGCTGCAGAACAGCCAGGCAGGTGCTGGAAAGGGTGATAGTAGTACAGCTGGCAAGGAAAGCCAGCAGAGAAGGAGAAGAGGGCTGTCTTCACAAGGAGAGAGGAGGTAAGCAGGTAAAAGCAGAGCCTAAAAAGTCTTACTCAGCTATAAAGAAAGATAAACTGGAAGCCTTTATAGGGATGCAACTGGAGACCTTACTCAGAACTGAAATAAATCAGACCCGCATGTGTAAACATCGTATTGTCTCCCGAGAGTGAGAACCTGAAACATTAAATAAAATCTGAAAGATACAATAGATACTGTGAAAGGGAAAGAAACTGTCCAAAGGAAAGGAAGAACTGGGGTGAGGGAAAGGAGAAAAGAAAGAAGGAAGGAAATATAGATGCTAAGACAACTGTGCTACTAATTTCCGTTGGCTTATTGAAAGGAACAGTTATAATGCTTTAAAAAAATTTGACATGCTTATATGTGGTAATCTGAGCAACTACTCGGAAGATAACAGCCATTGTTGATTTCCTATCATCTTGGTTTGAGATTCATATCATTGTCATTTTTATGCTCTTAAAGTAAAATTTAAACACGGAGAAAAAACACAAAAGAATAGCTGTGAGTGCAGGAAGGGCTGGGCTCAGGAGATGGACGGGCTGGAGGACGGAGCCCTGCTAGTGGGAAGGCAGTACACAGAATGGGAATGTGGCTTGTGGTTCTACCATGTGGGATCAAATGTGGCGCCACCCAGCAGCCATCTGCCTGAGAAGAGCACTAACATCACTGAACCCTGGTCTGCTCATCACTTGTAAGGCGGGATAACGGGATGCGAGCTCTGCTTGCAGTTCTCAGTACGAGCCTGCCACGGCCATCCACCGGAGGCCACGCTCCACACTGCTCCCGCTGAGCACTGAGCCATCCTGCAGAATGAGCTCCACCCAAGTCTCTAACTTGCTTTGCCTGAGCTGAGCGTCTAATCGGGAAGCCTAGAGGGGCCAAGTTACTCTGAACTGCAGGCAAACAACAGATATACTTAGGTGTAGGCATGTCCGCATGTTCTATGATTGCTCTACTTTTAGCAAATTTCAGAATTTACGAGGACCATTTAACACTGTATGCAAATCTGGGGTATGGCTACATGAGTTGGGAGGAGGGTGTTTGTCAGGGCATCAGGAAGACTAACCTAAGGACTGAGTTTCCTACAAAAGATAACGTGTCTGCTTCCATCTCCCTTTGTCCTTATAGTATACTAGAGAGTACTGAAGCATATTTAGTCCCATCATCTATCAGGATATGGTGATGCTCTTAACAAAAGGTAAGGACCCCAAGTCTACCTCTCCTGTGCCCATGGTACGAGTTGGGTGCTCCATTATCACTCTCAGTCTCACTCCCCACACTTGGCTTCTCTGGAAGTGATTCATTTTGTATGTAAACAAAGCCCCTTAAACTGAGGCACAAATATTTATTTGAAAGCACACTGGGCCAGCTGCTGGGGTGGTGCAGACCCCAGCACTCTTCCATCTTTGACAAAACTAAACAAAAAAGGAGATACAAAGGAAGGACCCTTTTGTATCTGTGTATACAAAATAGTTAGGATAGATATACAGCTACTTTCTCTTCATTCAATGAGAAGAAAGATTTGTACTAACAGTGTTTGGACAGGATATCATGTCTGCATCTTGTACTATGAGTAACTGCTATGAATACAATAATATGCAATGTATTAATTATTGAAACTGTCCTATTGTTTTTGAAACTGTCTCATTGCTATTTGTTTCTCAATAAAATTAACTTTAAAAAGAAAACCTAGAACAAAAAAATAAAATGAAAGAAAAAAAGAAAGAAAAAGAAAGCACACCGTTAGGGTAGCAGTAGTTTGTAAGACTTTAGGGCAAATGTCTTCCTGGAAAGACTTAGAATGCAAGTGAATTTACCTGGAAGACAGAAAATATCAGGCCTGAAGCCAAGGTAGAAGAAAAACTGACAAAGTAAAGCACACAGACATCATGAGTTTTAACTTTAGATATTCCTAAAATATCCAGAAAACAAATTCCAAGACAGACCTTTAGGATTCATCCAGCAAGCCTCAAGAAAAGCCTAGAGCTTTCTTGCCTCTACTTGAAAATACCCACTGGATAAGAAATCCATAAAACAAATCTACCCTAGATCAAGTCTGAAGATCTGGGCCCCCCCACTGCACAGGGCACTCCAAAATGAAGATCTGTAGGGCTGTCCAAAGGAGTAGGACAGAGAGGGGGTGGCAGCCATGCTGTGTGGGTATGCTGATGCCATCAGTCCTTTCTTTAAAAGAACAGTGAGAAAGAAAAACAGCGAACCCAAATGAATGGTGGAGAAAAGATTAAAAATAAAATGTAACAGGCCCTTCTGTTGCACCACACTCTATCCTGACAGCCACTGAGTGGACAGGGAGGATGAAGGAAATTTTCTCCGGGCACAGACAGGGCACTGCCCTATACAGGGGCAGCGGTGGGGGACAGATGCTCTGGGTCCCTAAATAAGTAAAGTACAGGGGCTTGAGGAGAGAAAGCCCCCGAGATGTACATGCATTTTAAGATAGCTGATAAAGCCTTACATTTCAGAGTGCCAACAGGCCATCACAGTCCCCCCTACTCACAGGGGAAACGTTCCAAGGCTCCGGAGGGTGCCTGAAACTTGGGATAGAACAGAATTCTCTATATATTCAAACATATGTACTATGGTAACGTTTAAATTATAAATTCATCCCAGTAAGGGATTAACAATAAAAACTAATAACGAAACACGATAAATATAACAATATTCTGTAATAGAAGTTATGCAAAGGCAGGTTCTGTCAAAATACCTCGCTGTCCTGTTCTTACCCTTCCTGTCGAGATGGTGTCAGACAGCACATACAAGAAGCACCCTGGGCATCTCTCTGGCATAGCCAAGCTAACAGCAGCATCACTACTCCTGGGGTTGGCACCACTGTTAAGTAAAGTAAGGGCCACTTGGCCAGACATTCCGCGACGAACAGGCTACCCTATGAAAACAGCTGGACAAAAGGATGATTCCTGTTGTTGGTAGATGCAGTAGGAGGACCTACACTATATATCTTGTGATTTGTTCATTTCTAAAATGTTCCATTTAATGTTTTTCTTGGTACATGTTAATGGCACATCATGACGACGAGCGGATTTGGTGCATGCTCACAACACCTCTTACTTAATCCGTCTCTCATCCCCCTCCCTGCCCTCTGGCTCCCTCCTTCCGTCTCTTTGTCGACCTCCTTTTAATATTTTTGATCTATAGTTGACAGAGGGTAACTGAAACTGGAGAAAGCAAAGCCCTGGTTATACAATAACTATTTCCTAGCTAAAAAAAAAAAATCACAGCCGCTAAATGGTTGACACGTTTAGATGATGAAGTTTTCCTTTGCTATCACTATTTGTTCAATAACTTCCTCTTAAATTTGTATCTAATCTGTTTCAGCAATTTATAACATAAACATATTTATACTGAGGCCAGATGAAGAACAGCCTAACTCTAATTTAGAATTACCTGATTCAAAACGGGAGAAGAAATTATTTAAAGGAGAGGACTTTATCTGCAATCTGTGACCGCTAAAGAGGTATATTAAAATATAGGACAGCAGTCCAATTCGCATTTCAGATTAACAGTGAATGATCTTCACTCTAGGTGTGTCCTGATGCTGTACCAAAGCCTATTTGTGAACACATTTCAGAAGATCTGTGGGCCCCTTGCACTGAACACATACATGGTTTGCAGATGCATTTTGAAAAGAAGATTGGCTCTGTCTTTCCATATCAGTGACCTCCCAACACTACTGAAGAGTTAATCCTGTCAAGGCCCTTTTCCTGTATCCTGAGCTCCCTGTTGGCCAAAGCAAAAGAGACATGCAAAGGATAATTTACCCAAGAGTGACGACAGCTCCTAGGAGATGCAGGTGGACAGAGTGAGCCTGGCAGGGAGCTGACCTTGCAAACACTCAGCTCTGCATTCCTAGCCATCTGCTTCTTTGTGGATGGTGGAGAAAAGCACCTTTGGAGGACAGACTGGAAAGACCCTAGGGAAGGCCAGGAGGCCAGTCCAGAGGACTAGAGTCCTTGCAAACCTTGTGCACACCTACCCCAAGGGTCTATCAGTGAAGCTCCCCACTCTCATTTCCAGCTGGTGTCCCTTTCCTGAGGTCCCTGGAGAGTGTTGGGGATGGCAGAGTGCAGGCTTTGCCACTGTTACTGAAAAGCAGGCCCTGAGGACAGCTGCTTCGGCCACCATTTCTTCCTCTGGCCTCCAAGAGGCTGGGGTGTCTTCTTCCTCTTTGTCATGTTTCTCCAGCTTTGGGGAAAAACAGAGTAGGCTCATGAATAGGTTCTTGGCATCCGCTTGAATAAATGTTAGGGGAATGGAGGACTGTACGGAATTTGCATATTAGAGGCATATGTGTATACACAAATGTGTGTATTTTAACTGCCCAAATTTGAAAATTAGGTTTCACATAAGAGTTCCCATGTTTTAGCTTCTCATAAAATAACCAGATAATACTGCGCCACAGCTATTTGTTGTGTGGCAATGATCTGCTGAGGTTGGAACTGCTGTGCCAGATGGAGGTGGGGCGGGGCAGGGCGGGGCTCCTGGGGAGCATCCTCCCATTCCCCACAGCCCTCCCATGCTCTGCTTTTTTTGCTTTAGTAAGCATTATTCAACTTTTGAGGCATCTCCGGCCCTGAAAGTGTGAGCTTACCACCTACCCATGACTGCTCCTCCAAGCTGGCTTGTGGTTTACCTACTCCTTGCTCTCATTTAGCCTCTTATTTATTGACACAGGGACTTGCTACATAGCTCAGACTCATAGAGATCCTCCTTTCTCAGCCTTCCCATTGCTGGGATTACAGGTGTGTGCTACCATGCCCGGTTCTAGGGCCGGCACACTATGCAGTACTGGGGATTGAACTTGGGTCCTTGCGCTTGCCAGGCAGGAGCATAGACCACTGAGTTATCTCCCCAGCCTGATTTAGCCTCTCTAATATGAGCCATGTCCAGTTTTATTCTGTGAACCAAAACAATCTGAGAAAATTTACAATCAGCATAGAGTGGCTACGAATACTGAGTGAGAAACTGCTTTCCATTAAAAGAGGCTTTGAGCAGTGAAATGTTAAAAACTATGAAATAAGAAAACAACTTTAAAATTTACACTTAGTCTTACTCAAACGAGCTACTTTGAAATCTTCCTTAAGTACTGATACTTGTTTGCAAAACATCAGATTTATGGAGTGAATAGAATTTTATTTTTGTCAGAGGCAAGTTTTCAAGGGGGCTGTTTTGGAAAAGCGAACCCCTCTCCCTTAATCTCCTGTTGCAATAAATTGCACTCCATACACATGTGTTTCTTTGGTGTGGCTGTAAAGTGCTGAAGGGACAAGATGCTCACAGGCTTCACAGGGCAACGTCCTGGGCTAAGGCAACCCAGACGCACACGTAACTGGCACAGCAATGCTGGCTAACAGGTGCGACGCGAGGGGCAGTTTCTCTGGCATGCATTATATCATCTTACCTTGCTGTAGCCCCTTAGGAAGGTGCTAATTAACCCCACTTATCAACATGAAAACTGAGATTTGGGCAAACTCATTCCCTGTGAAAAACCATTCACATAGGTGGCAGCAGGTAGCCAGGGTCGTCCCCAGCCATTTTTACCGGAACCTATCCTGCAGAGTACGTTCCAAGAACGGATGACTCTACAGACATTGTTTTTCTCCACCACTCGTATTCACCCAAAAGTCAGCTTGATTCTTAGAAAACAATGGTGTCAAGTCAACAGAAAGAATGCCAGCTAAACTAGAACAGTTCATTATCTCAGGCCCCGAACATCCTAACACTTTCCACAGGCTCCACCCCGGCAGCTGCAGCAGATGCAGAAGTTGTCCTGTTTATTTCAGAGGAAGCTTGGGGCAGAAGGCAGAGCGGTGCAGCCACAATAGCTGACTCTCCAGCTGAGCTCTGTTTCTCACACTGAGTAAGCAGGCGCCCAGCTGATTAGCATAGAACTCATTAGCATATAACTGAACCACAAATATGTTTATGAGGGTCGTGGATCTTCCTTTCAGAATGTGGCTGCCAGCACACTGGTTTTACATTTTGCCACACAGATTTAATTCTCCTTAGTGGGAGAAAACTGCATTAAGAAGTAATTTCCTTCCTTGCAGAGGCAGCTACGAGGCAGTTGCTGCAGGCAAGTCAGGCGGGATTACTATTCTACTCAAGAACTAATTTTCATTTTGATACTACCTTTAGGTCTGCTATAAATCCATCTTGTAATAGTTCAATGAGATGACAAAGAACAATGCAAAGCCTGGAAAATGTGGCCCCGCCGCTCGTGGTGCTGCCGTGAGAAGACACAGAAATCAAGCATTAAGTGGCCTCATCGAGACAGATCCTAGCAGACGAATCCAGATAATTCAGAGCCTGGGAACATTAATGCCTCCCTGGGTATTAGGCAGCCGTCTGTTATCGGCGTATGCCACACAGACGGCAGCGTTGGGCCAACATTTACAAGTTGTTTATGGGAAATAGGAAATAAAACAAAACTAATCATATTTGCTAAACTGCTGCACATGGTCTTCAAAACTTAAGAGACTTCCCTCCTAAACATGGGAGCATCTTTTCTTTAGAGCAGCTCAACCCTGGATGCCTGTTGAAATCACCTGGGAAACTTAAATATATATATCTCACCTCAGGGATGCTGGTTTAATGTGCTTGGGGCGTAAAAAGTAAAAAGTACTTCACAAACAGTTCCAAGGAGCACTCACCACCAAGAAGCCCTGCAATGGGGTGAGGGTACCTGTATGTACAGCAAGGTGTCATCCCCCCTAAAAACGGGCATCACCCTGGAGCCTGGGGGGTGAGTGGTGGAACCTCCCCCAGCATGCCAGACACTGCTGTCGCTCATGTCCCTTATGTGGAATGTGGGGTACTATTTGCACAGAGCTCACGTGTATTCTCTGGGATGCCTTACATCATCTCTAGATTACTTACAAAAGTGGGCATGGTGTAAATGTTATGGAAACGGTTGTTGTACTGTGCTGTTCAAGGATTAAGGACAAGGGAAAAACACAGACATGCTCAGTCTGGGTATAATCCCCTCTGCAAATATTTCCTATGCATGGATGATTGAAGCCACTGATGTGGAGCCCATAGATCTGGAAGACCCATTGTAATGCATCTGCCCCTAAGCCCACATCTGTGACCCTTTTTCCTGAATCAGATCTGCCCTTTGTAAACAGCTGTATAACTGCTTTTCTTCTGTTTGCCACAGGGCAGAGGAATGTGTGGGCCACGAGGCTTGTCTAAGCAGCATGAAGAAGCTGAGCCAGTTCAGGAGACTTTGGATGAGGCTGCAGTCTCTGCAGGAATGAGAGGCTGGGAAAGGCCTTGGCAGAGGAGACAAGTGTCCTAGATGGGCTGTCCAGGTGACCAGGAAATTAAGCAGGCTGCAGTTTTGTGATAGAGTTCCATTCCCACAGGCACGCTGCAAACTGACAGCTGTAGCCCACTGCCTGCAGCCCAGAGAGAAGCCTGCTGGTCCTAAACAGTAGCTATCCAAAAGGTACCACCTGCCTCGGAGAGCTACAACCAGAGTTTGATTCTTGCAAGAACTTTCCAGAGCACCTCAGCCTGCTGGAAGGGGAAGGTAGAGATTCTTTGTTACTAACCAGTTATTTTATGTTTCTGCAGTGCTGGCTCAACCACTGAAAAGGCCACCCATTGGGGAGAGTAGATAGTGAAAAGTTAGTTTCAGTGGAATGAGATTGCAAGGGAGATGGGTACTGGGCAGAGCTCACTAGCTGGAAAGGCTTTGAGGTGCTGCATTGACTTCACCAAGAAGCCGTGTCATAGCAGGAGTGGAGGGACAGGGAGTCAGCTAAGGCATGTCCCCGTGATGATGAGGTGTTGCCCACACTTTACACATGACACATGAGAAGAGTGGACTCCTTAACCTCCTTGTGCCTCAGTTGCCTTCTCTGTGGAACAACAGCTGTTACACTAGTGAGTGGCGACGTTCCAGACATAATCAAGTGGTGCGTAGAGTTTGATGCTGCCGATTTCCAACCACTGCCACAGCCACTATCACCACAGGCCGCATACCCTGTCCCCCTGACAGTGACCGCTGCCTACCCCACCGCACTTGTTTCCAGGAGTGTATGTTCTGTTACTGTCTTCACAGTACCCTCGCTCTCTTTTGAGCCCCACTACCCTGTAAAAGGACTAAAAGTAATGATGAGAATTCGGTCACAGCAACTAATCTTAATGTGACATCCGATTCTAAGGAGGGAATTTTACTCCTTCATTTCTGAAGTGACCCTCAATGATCCCTAGCTCTCAAGGTTGTTTTACAGAGTTGGATATTAGCACAGGCTCCCCAGAGGTTGAAGTTAAGGTCCTCGAGGAAGATCATGCGGTGAAGAGTAACTGTCCTAGAGACAGGGTCACCAGATTCAGCACATAAAAAGACTAAGACACTCAGTTAATTTTTCTTAGTATAAGAATGCCTCATATTATTCTGGCCATCCTCACACTAAAATGTTATTTGTTTTTTATCCAATATTCAGACTTAACCTAGCTTTCTGCCTGTCTGCCCACTGTTCCACCATGGTCCCCTGAGGAAAGTCTCAAGAAAGTACTGGGCTTACGTTTGCTCACTAAGCTGTTTTCAAGCCTGCCTGGCTGCTAAAACCAGAAAATCAGAGGAAACCGTCCAAAGAGAGAGAAAATTGAAGGTGAGCGTTGTGTGCCCTCTAGGATTATTGTTATTGCATAGAATCCAATGGAAATCACCATCGCTATTGTAAGTCCACAATACATCTGTTCCGAGACGGATACCTTTCCGTATTTTAATATCTCTGAACCCGAAACACATCCTTTAACCAACATTTGATTGGCAGTGCTTTTCCTTCTTGGGAACGCGTGAAATAAGGCCACGTTTGGACTGACTGCATTCCGTGTTCCATGCACTGGCGTTCTCCGTCTCTTCTCCCTGGGTTGTCACACAAGTCAAGGTGACAAAGCTCATTGCAAATGCTCAGCACCAAGGCTGATGCAAGACGTGCTACCTGCCTCCTGATGCAACAGCGAGAGGTAAAGTTGTTCCCAGAGGCACTCCGTTCTTCGGAGGAAAGGGGACACCAAAGCAACAAAGTTTTCAGGAAATTGAACTGAAGTCCTCACCCACATTCAACAGGGTGAGGCCTGTCACAGCCCTTGCAAGTGAATTCTACCTCTATGCAGCCTTGAGAATCAACTTAAAATAAAAAAGCACCTGCAGCCATCCCACTTCATCTGCT